CCCGTCGCAAGGCCCCGTGGACCGCGCTACCCGCTGCAGAGCTCGGCCAAAGTCGTCCTCCGGCGGCTTGCCCAGCACTGCTTTCGCTGTCGTCATAGTGCGACCCGCGTCCTCCAGCCCGGCGCACAGCGCCTTGGCCTTCGGAGCCAGAGCCTCGCCCAACAGCTCTTCCATCACCTTGAGCCCTAAACACCCAGGCTGACGCGAGCCTGGATCCTCGATTCTTTGCTTCTTGGCCTTCCTTGTAGCCACATCCTTCAGAGCTGCCCCCAGCCGCAGCACGTGCCCTCGCAGTACGCTCTCGGTATCATCGAAAAGACCGAAAACCGGGGGTGCCAAAGCAACGCCCTCGCCACCCTCGAGGGCCTGTTCCACAGCTGCCACCAGCGTCAGAACGTCCTGCTCCAAAAGGTCCTTGGCCACGCTTTGAGCTAGGAGCAGAAAGGGCGGCCAACACTTATCCACATGCTCCGCTGCGCATCCAAGGACTTTGCTCACGAAACCGCCCTCGCTGAACCCGAAACCCGGAGGTACCGTTTCGCTGGTGTACCGAGCAGGCGCCCGGGCTACCGGAGCGTCCCGCGTCGCTATCCGCGGCACCGAGGGCGCGCTGCCCGGTAGTGAGCCTCGCCGACTCGTATAATCCCGCTCATACTCGGCCACCGTGAGGAAGTGCTGCCCGTGCATCATGTTTGACACGAGACCGCGCTCCCATCAGTATATAAAGAGAGGTGTTTCACGCCATCATGAATTTCACTTCGTTCATTCATTCTTGCGTGAATCACCTGCTCTTTATGAACTGATGGCCTCTCTCGCTGTCGCTCGTTCGGGGCTACGCCAAAGTTGAAGTAAAGTTGAAGTTCAATATTTTGCCCCTTTTGTTCCCAAATGACAAAACCCCAAAGCATCAAAAAAAGTTTGCCCCTTTATTCCCAAATGACAAAACCCCAAAGCATCAAAAAAAGTTTGCCCCTCATCAGTATATAAAGAGAGGTGTTTCACGCCATCATGAATTTCACTTCGTTCATTCATTCTTGCGTGAATCACCTGCTCTTTATGAACTGATGGCCTCTCTCGCTGTCGCTCGTTCGGGGCTACGCCAAAGTTGAAGTAAAGTTGAAGTTCAATATTTTGCCCCTTTTGTTCCCAAATGACAAAACCCCAAAGCATCAAAAAAAGTTTGCCCCTTTATTCCCAAATGACAAAACCCCAAAGCATCAAAAAAAGTTTGCCCCTTTATTCCCAAATGACAAAACCCCAAAGCATCAAAAAAAGTTTGCCCCTCATCAGTATATAAAGAGAGGTGTTTCACGCCATCATGAAGATCCAGGTAGGTGACATGGTAAGCTACGTATGGCCGGAAGAATCCAAAGAAACGCGCGGACCTTGGACTTGGGTGGTGACGCTGGTTACGATGAACGGAGTAGAAATCAGACCAGCTAGAGCACTCGAGAGAAGCTTACAGTCCGGAGGAGAGGACCTAAGACCCAAGCGAAAAGATATTGTGTTTTCCAAGTACTGCTCTCATGGACCTCTAGCAAAGGACATCAGATTATGCGTAGACCCGTGTCGTCAGCCAACTTGTGTGTGGTGCAAGCAACACGGAGTTTTCGATTACAAAAACAGAACCACATTTGAAAGGGACTCCCTACCGGAAGTCGCCAACACTTGGGTTTCTGACGACATCCACATGGCTAAGACCTTGGCCAGAGAGGATGTCTCTACGTCAATGAAAGTAATCGAGAAAACAATGAAGCAGCAAGGAATGCTGC